CTCAGAGGTTAAGAGCACTGACTGCTCTTCCAGAGATCCTGAGTTCAATTCCCAGCAACCACATGGTGGCTTACAACCTTCTATAATGAGATCTGGTGCCCTCTTCTGACTTGCAGGCAAAACATGCTGACAGAACACGGTATACATATAAAAAAAAAAAAAAAAGAAGAAGAAGAGCTAACTGTGAACTAGAGACTGCCAGCCAGGAGTTAGTCCTTGCCTGCCTGCCTGCCTTCCTTCCTTCCTTCCTTCCTTCCTTCAGTCTTGCTCTATGTGGCCTTGAATTCATGCAATCCTTGGCCTGATGAGTGCTAGGATTGCAGTGGGGGTATGCCCATGCCAAGGTCATACTGCTCCTTTCCTTTGGCAAGGGGAGTTGGTGTTTTGAAGCAGGGTCTCTCTGTGATCTGTGATCTGTCTGCTTGGGATCAAAGGTATGTGCCACCACGCCCAGCACTGCTGCCTTCTTGAGTTGGATATAGCAGTTGGTTGCTGATAAAAGATAAAACTGAAGCTTTTGAGCCGGGTGGTGGTGGCACACTTGGGGGGCAGAGGCAGGTGGATCTCTGTGAGCTCCAGGACAGCCAAGACTGTCACACAGAGAAACCCTGTCTCAAAACAACAAGGAAAACCTTGAAGCTTTTATGAATCACTGAGAAATACTCTTTTTACCATGATCAGTGAGTGGAATTTTTGTTTTTGGTTTTTTTTTTTTTTTAAGCTTCTGCACAATGATAGATGCCTTCAGAACCATTTTTTTCTCTCTTGTGGCTTTTGTTTTTGGAAGGTGGTCACTTGACCAGCTGCCTCCTGCCTGTACTTTGGGTCCAGTGCGTTGCTGCACATTCAACTCAGCTGAGATCTTATGAAAGGTTGAAAGGTTTCTGGATGGTTGGGTGCTAAGTGTGCACTGACGCCTTTATAATGTAATGTAAATGCTCTCTCTCTCTCTCTCTCCCTCTCCCTCCCTCCCTCCCTCCCTCCCTCTCTCTCTCTCTCTCTCTCTCTCTCCCTCCCTCCCTCTCTCTGTGTGTGTGTGTGTGTGTGTGTGTGTAGTCCTGGCTGTCCTGGAACTCACTTTGTAGATCAGGCTGGCCTTGAAAGAACTCTAGCCTCTGCCCTCCACAACCTCCTGCTAGGATTAAAGGTGTACGCCACCACTCCTGCCATGTGCCTGGTTTCTGTCATTTCTGAAGATCAGCGGTGTTTCTGTTTCATAGGAAAGAAAACCAAAAGTAGAGAAAATAAAGTTTCTTGTTTAAGCTGCAAAACTAGGGTTCAGCCATGGTGTTTTTCTTCTGAAGTCCCTGGGCTCTGAGGAAAGCATCAGAAGCCTCCAGCCCAGACAGGCTGTATGTGTGAAGTGGTGAAAGTTTCCCTACTGGACACAGGCACCAGAAACTCCAGCCACCACTGTGCTCCCTGGAGCCCCCACCTTGCTTATGACTGTGTTCTTATCTCACAGGAGCAATGAAGTCTGGGTCCTTGACCTGGAGCAGTGGGCGTGGTCCAAGCCGAACATCTCTGGCCCCAGTCCTCACCCCCGAGGTGGCCAGTCTCAGGTGCTAAAGAGTTTAACTATTGAGCAAGCACTGTAATATCTTTATGAGAGTGAGGTGAGGTGCCCTGTGCAACAAGCCAAAGAGAGTTTCTTTCGGTTTTTGTTGTTTTGGGGTTTTTTGTTTTGTTTTGTTTTGGTGCTGCTTGTTCTCAGCTTCTATTGCTGTATTGCTTATAGTGGCCTTAGTGGGGTTTTATTTCTTAAGTGAATTCTTCATTTTCTGTGGTTAGCACTCTTGTGTTCATATTTTTTCAAGTTAGAATATACTGTTCAAGAGTCGTCCGTTTAAAGGGCTAGAACTGATGTGGGTTGGGTAGAGTGGGCAGCTGGAGCACTCACTTGGGAGCTGAGCATGCCACTTGTGTGTGTCACTGAATCATGAGTCAGATGCCTGTGTCTTTGTAGGTTTATTTAAATTTCTTCATCTTCCCAGATTGTTATAGATGATGCAACTATCCTAATCCTTGGCGGTTGTGGTGGTCCCAATGCTGTGAGTATTGCAGTGACAATCTGCCTCGACTGCTAAGTTCTGGAACATGCTTGCCCTGCTTGTTTAGTAAGACAGAGTCTTCTTTGGACTTGCTCACTCAGAGGACACCCATATGCTTTGAGTAGATAGCTTTTGTATTGTCTGCCCCTTTCTCTGTTCTTTTTCGGGGAGGGGGAAGTGGAGTGAGAGGTACTTTTAATCAGAAACATTGGTCTCTTAAACATTCATCCCTCCATTCTTTCTAGCTCTGTTTCCTCTTTAAGCTAAAAGGTTTGCCAGTAAAGCGGCCAGTGGGGTAGAAACAAGTGGATAACAGAAGTCCACATGGAATTTACTTAAGAATGTAGACTGAGAAAGTTAATGTATATGTCATCTCTCTCTCTCTCTCTCTCTCTCTCTCTCTCTCTCTCTCTCTCTCACACACACACACACACACACACACACACACACCAGCTACAGTTGGCTACAGTTGGTGTGTGGTCACAAGAACAGTTCTGTGTGCCAGGATAGTCAGTGGCCATGTATGAGAGAATTGAGGCAGGAGGCAGACAAAGCTGCTTGTGAACAGCGGCGGACTTAGATGTTCTCTCATTGGTCCTTCTCCTGCAGCTGTTCAAAGACGCCTGGCTGCTACATATGCACCCAGGTCCCTGGGCCTGGCAGCCACTCAAGGTAGAAAACGAAGACCACGGTGCCCCAGAACTGTGGTGCCATCCAGCCTGCCGGGTAAGTGGGGAATAAGCAGCCAGCAGGAAATGCCCTAACCTGGAAAAAGGAATTAACTTGTTAAGCTTACAGAAGTAGAAAACAGTTTGGTGTCATGTGCTCTTTTAGTATTTCCCACGTGCATGAGCTGCTTGGTAGGAGGACATAGGTGTACATTGTTTTACTTGTAGCCTTAAAGATCCATTTGTCTAAAGAATGTTACCCAAGTCCTTCCAGCAGATGCCACTGTTCTGCACTCATTCTTGTCAGTACCACTGTTCATTCTGTCTCCACAGCCCAGGCCTGCAAAGCCCTGGCCTTTCCAGTGCTAGCTTGATAGGCAAGGCTATGAGCACAAGTCCTTTGTCTTCCAGGTGGGACAGTGTGTGGTGGTCTTCAGCCAGGCTCCTAGTGGGCGAGCGCCACTCAGCCCCAGTTTGAACTCTCGCCCATCACCTATCAGTGCCACTCCTCCAGCCCTGGTTCCTGAGACCCGAGAATACCGATCCCAGTCTCCTGTGAGGAGTATGGATGAAGCTCCTTGTGTTAATGGCCGCTGGGGAACACTGAGGCCCAGGGCTCAAAGGCAGACTCCCTCAGGTTCCCGAGAAGGGAGCCTCTCCCCAGCCAGAGGAGATGGCTCTCCTATCCTCAATGGTGGAACCTTGTCTCCAGGGACAGCAGCTGTTGGGGGTGCTTCCTTGGACAGCCCTGTGCAGGTGGTATCTCCAAGCACCCCATCTGCCTCCGAAGGATATGACCTAAAAATGGGACTTTCCCTAGCTCCCCGCAGAGGCTCTCTCCCAGATCAGAAGGACCTGAGGCTAAGCTCCATTGACCTGAATTGGGACCTGAAGTCTGCTTCCAATAGCAGTCATGTGGATGGTACAGACAACAGGACAGTTGCAGGGAGTGTGAGACACCCTCCAGAACAGACCAATGGTGTTCATACACCACCACATGTGGCCAGTGCCCTTGCAGGGGCTGTATCCCCCAGTGCCCTGCGTCGGAGTTTGGAAGCCATCAAAGCGATGTCATCCAAAGGCCCCTCAGCCTCGGCCACGCTAAGTCCTCCTCTTGGGTCTTCTCCAAGCTCTCCAGGGAATCAGAACCTGAGCAGTGGAGAAACTGTACCCATCCCCCGCCCAGGACCAGCCCAAGGAGATGGTCATTCCTTACCCCCAATTGCTCGCCGCCTGGGCCACCACCCTCCACAGTCCCTCAATGTTGGCAAACCCCTGTACCAGAGTATGAACTGCAAGCCCATGCAGATGTATGTGCTGGACATTAAAGACACCAAGGAGAAAGGCCGAGTCAAATGGAAAGTATTTACTAGCAGTTCTGTGGTCGGGCCTCCTGAAACCAGCCTGCACACAGTGGTACAGGGCCGAGGAGAGCTTATCATATTTGGAGGGCTCATGGACAAGAAGCAGAATGTGAAGTACTATCCAAAAACAAACGCCTTGTACTTTGTGCGAGCAAAGAGATAATGTGTTCAAAGTCCTTTCCCTTTCTGTGGCTTTTCATTCGGAATTTTCCAGTGTACAAGCATTTGGACCGAGACTCGGGAAAACAACATGATTCCCACAAACCAAAACTCCAATTCCATGCCTAACTCATTCCAGGCTGGGATCAAATCTCCATTAAGGAAAAGATTATATATAGATATATACAGATATATTATATAACCAACTCTGTTTACAAATAAAGGTGAGGTCTCCGTTCTGGTTCAGATCAGCTGTTGCTATCTTAGCGGAGGCTGTGCTGGCCTTTTCTACTCTGCTGGTAATCAGACCAGGAAGTTAGGGACAGACTAACAGCAGTAACTTCCCACAAGAAACAAGCTGAAGAGCTCCCTGGATCTTTCTGTGGCCTTCTCAGACAGGACACCAAGGAAGAGGCTTCAGACACCACACTGCAGGGTCAGAGTCACTTAGAGAAAACAATGTAAACCTCCTGTTTGAACCTGTGACAATTCTGCAGAAGCATTCTGTGCCTGGTCCCTTCTGTGATCCAGAGAAGTCACCCAACAAGAAATACAGTTCCCCACATGCTGGAGTCACGGTGAAACGATGTTTATAGAGCCGCTGTCCATCTGCCTCTTTCCTGTCCCTTGGTCTTTTGAGTTTCCCCTACAGTCTCAGCAAACATGCAGTGTCTGATTATGGGATTTTTCTGACAATCGTGTTTGATTGCAAGTTGCCAAAAAACATATTGTTTTCCTTTTAGAATTCGGTCCTCAGAGGCCTCTTTTCTGTCTGTAGGCTGCTCCCTTGCCCTTTGGTGGTTTGCTTTAGTTGGGGGTATTTTATTTTACTTTTTGTTTTGTTGTTTGGGGCATTTGACTTTTTAAAAAGCATCCAAATGTCTGTTGTTCATTCTTCTCTGCCTAAAGAAACCAGATGCTCTTGAGCCTTCCCTGCATCTCCAGGGCCAGTATCCACTGCAGTGTGGGGGTGCACACACCTGTGACCCTTGCACTCCGGGCAAAGGCAGGATGATTTCAGGTTTGGGTCTAGCCTGGGTTATATGATGAGCCCCTGTCTCAACAAAACAAAATTAAGATGCCAGAATCATTAAAAAAAAAAAATCCAAAAGTCACCTCTCCTTCCATCCCTTCCCCCAGTAGGGTCTCAGTGTAGCTCACAGAGATCCTCCTGCCTCTGCCTCCCAAGTGCTGGGAGGAAAGGCGTGTGACACCAGGCCCAACCCAAAAGCTATCTTTTAGTCAGTGTGTTTCTTTTATCTCCACGTTTCACTGGGCACGCCCATTCTTACTAGTAGAATATAAGAGTTGATCTTAAAAGGGAATCTGGAAACAGTTCCTTCCAGAAAGGGTTTCCTCACTTGTGACACACCTTCTGCTGTACTGTTGACAAGTGACTGGTTTGAGTATCCTGTCCTTGACCTTGGAGATACATGTTGACCTGGGAGCAGCTCCATCCTTCATGTTGTCTTGTTCTTGTATCCCCCAAACAGGGCTTTAGTTCGTACTTTGACTTCATTTCCTAGATAAAGTACAGCCACCCAGGAGAGTGTTTATTTTGTTCAGAGGACACCAGAAATTACTAGTCTTTCTGGACATAGGAGACATCAAAAAGATATTTTAAATGGACATGCAACTATGGATTTTGGTGGTTTCTCATCAGTGGTAAAGGATTTTCATTTTGCCTTTAAAACCGAAATTGAAACAACAAAAATGTGTTTCCCAGCCCCATCCCCTTTTTCTTGTCAGTGTCTCCCAGGCACAAGCTCACTGCTGCTGACCCTGGGTCCTGGCTCACAGCCAGCACTTGCCCTGGCTGACGTGTGTGTCTCCTGCTTCATGCTCAGTCTTCCCTTAGCCATTAGCTTCGCTCTGGTGGTCTCGGCAGGAAAGTCCCCCTGGGGAAGCCCAGGTAAGGACCAGCTCTCGAGGAGAGGAAGGTGCTCTGGAGCTGCTCCCAAGGGAACACCCCTGTGCCTACTTCCTGTGTATCCCACCACTCCAGCTCCCTGCTCTGTTGCTTCTGCCAGTCCTTTGGTTGACAGTTTGATCCTGTGGGGCCTGACTTAAGAGGCAAGGTCAGCAGATGAGCAGCCTGACATTGCTGAAACCTGGCTGTGGTGTTTGCCTGTGGACGTGCCTCTGGACTTGGTTTCTACTTGCACATCAAGTATTCAGACACCTGAAGTTCAGAATCGCCACTTTTGTAGTCTTTCTTTTCCCCCTGTGGCCTTCCTAAGCTAGCGGTCAACTGTTGATTGTTCTACTTTTCCCAAGCAGGCAGCAGAAACATTAACCTCTTAGAAAGCAAGGGGTTCCTCTGAACCCTGGGGTCCTGGGGCTGCCCACACTGCTGAGAGCCAGGTATCTGCAGTCCCTCCAGAGGAAACAGAAGGAACCTTTCGTGCAGCCAGCAGTGTAGGACTTGCTGGTCCTGAGCTCTGTGGATGTGTGCTGTGGGAAAGTGACTCAGCAGTGAAGCTGGTGGGCTCCTCAGCCCCATGAGACTGTATGGCAGGACTTCCGATGTCTCTGCAGAGGTCAGCATTCCCACAACACCGTTAGTTCAGATTTAACCACAACTCTTTTTTTTTTTTTTTTTTTTTTTTGGACGCGATACCAATTTTGTCTTAAAATTCACTGAGAGACATGAGACAAAATATTTTGTTTGAACCCTCAGGAGCACCTAAAGCAAATATTTATCAGTATTTAAGTATTTAAAATACATCTTGTTTCTACTTGAAGCTTTAACCCTTTCCATTCCTGCAAGTGTGCCTTTGAGAGCCCTCGGTCATATTAACTTCAGTCATTTGGCTGGCCTCGCTCGTGTGAGAGTTCTGGGCACTGCTCTGCTTCTTTCTGCACAGAGCTTCCTGTTCATCTTCCCACACGCCACGCAGCAGAGAGCATTCATTGTCATTCCTGTTTCCACCTTTCTTCCCTGCTTTGGGTGAGCACGTCACAACGCCACCTCCCCCCACATCTGAAAGCACCAATAAGGTATAGGAACAAATGTCAATTTTGTTTAATGCTGGGGCTTACTCTCCTCCCAGCCCTCTATAGGTTGATTGATTTTAATGTTTGAGCTATAGGAAGAACTGTGGAAGAATGGCCTTGGAACTCCTTAAAACACAGAAGAGGAGAGGAGGAGGCGCCATTGCGGGGAGACTCAACTCTGAAGGACAGAAAGTCACTGGGGGTCCTCCCTCCCTTCACCATGTCTTTCTGGGTTCATTCTGCTTTGCTTTTTCCCTCCCCCTTTAAAGTGAATCACCTGCTTGGTCTGTCCGTCTGTCTGTCCTTGTCTTCGTGGTGACCCCAGCATGGTGATGTACTCTGCCTCGTGTTACCTGTAGTCCTGCAGTGCATAAGATGGTGGAGAGGACTGAAGGTCAGGGCGAGGAAGCCTGGCCTCGGGTACTGCATAAGGCATGCTCTGCTGTCACCAGTAGGTGGCCTCTCACCACTCCCGTCCTTGTGAATGAAAGCCAGCCTCTTTGGCTCCACTGTGCTCGCTCTGCTCGATCTGCCCCCTCCTACCAACCAGGGCTCATGTCAGTGTGCACCCACCGTGCCCTGGCGAAGCTGGTGCTGCGAGTGATGTTTCCCATACAACTCAGGGGTGCCAGGGGGCTCACCCTGATAGTCATGATAGGCACATCACAGTGTAGGGATGAAAACGGAACCCATGGATATTTAAATCTGTCAATTTCATTTTTGTTAATGTTTTCCCCTGATGACTTTTTAGCAGTTTAACAAATAAAACAAAAATGGACTGAATTGTCTTGACTGTTGTATTAGTACAGAAAAGAGATGGAAAAAAATCCTGGGATGGAGGGCAGTTGGGGGAGGGGGGCTGACAAGGTGGTTGGAAGGTTGTGTTTGCTGAGAAGGAATGTCCCTGTCCCTGTCCCCACCATGCCTGAAGGCCTTGGTGTTGCAGATCTTCAGTCTCACCCTGTAATGGAGGCCCAAGGGAAGTGAGGAGTGTTTGTGCAAAGCACCGGGATAGCCTTTATGTCACCAATGACCTAAGTAGAGGTGGGGCCTGACCGTGGGGTCTTGAGGCAGCACAGCAAAAGCCCCTGTTTACTCCTTTACCCTGGGGTGCAGGTCTTAACAGCTGTGGGGTGGTTGTTTCCACCCTGTGGCATCAAGAGGGTGTGCTGCGGGTATAGAGGAAGTACACCAGCCTTGTGCCTGGAATATGGTAAGTTGTCGCCCCCTGCAGGCCCAGAACAGTACCCCAACCAAAGTGGCCTCCCTCATTTGAGTGTAAATGACCAGGAAGACAGACAATGCAGATTCACCAGCCCAGCCTATGTCTTTATCTTCTGGAAACCCGAGAAAGGTCCCTATAAGCAGTGGGTCAGAAGCACCCGTGGATCTGGCAAGATCAGGGCACCACCTCCAAACCTAGCAGGCTGGTCACACGACTGGGGCTTCCCCTTGCTTCTCTCCCTCCACCCCACAGGACAAAAATCTCTTACCTATATTAGCCCTTGTACAGTATTGCCAGTGTATGAGTATGAGGGGTGATTTCACCATTGCTGGGCGTGTTTGAGAGGAGACGATTTATACATCAGATCAGGAATGAGATTGGACTCAGAGGGACTTAAAAGCAAGAGGGGTTATAGTACAGGTTTTAAACCAAGATAAACTTGGAACCAGAGATGAGCTGGGGCAAGATTTCTCACTTTGAACCTCAAGCTTTATCAGTAAAGCAACAGTGTTGGGAAGCCACCCTTTAGCAATTTAGCTGGAACCAAGCAAGGCTTAAGCTTTTGAAAAGCTGTGATTTTCCCCCAATGACCACTTGGAGGAGGCCTAGGAAAGGCTTTGAGTGCACCTGCTTATGCTCTGTTCAAAGCAGTAGGGAAAGAGACAAGATGGCTTACCCATTGTTCCCTTTCAGAACCCTGGCTGGCCCTCCCTGATTAGCCTGACTCAACTTCAGAGTGCCACCCCCAAGCTAACCCTTGCAGGCCCAGCACAGCCCACTCCAGCTGTGGGACTCTTGGTATTTCTCTGAAGCTGGACTCTGGGCCACAGATGCTGTCAGTATACCCAAAGCCAAGCTGGTGTCTTAAGACCTAGAAGTCCTAACCCTGAATTCTCCCCCAACCAGGGACCTCACCTGCCCACCCCCTGCAGGAGAGATGAAGGGCTACTGCAAACAGCAGGAAGGCATGAACTGTTGATTGTGGAAAGGGTGGCACTGACCTGGGAACCCTTGATTCTCAACAAGCATCCCTTGAGCATTTACTGACCCTTACCCCCAGGCAATGGGATACACTAGTGGCCCAAAGAAATGCCCCTAATGGAGCTTCTGGTTTCCTCACAAATGTTTCTTCACCTCAATAGTCAGCAATGGATCAAAGGATGGATCAAATCCATCCTATCCCAGCTTAGTGAACAACGGTAGGGTTCTTTGCAGGAGCATAGGTGACCCCCAAACAGTGAAAAGTCCCACCCCAGCATGAGTAATGAACTCCCCCAAACTGTGGAAATTACATCCGCCCTTTAGTTTCCCTCCTATATACTTCCTGAGACCACATGCAGTTGAGGTACAAATACATACAATTGGGCAGAGGTGCTGGAGGGAGTGCTCAGGACCTTGGATGGAGGTCTACCCCTCCTCCTCACCCCTCCTGTAAGGAACTGTCAGCAGGAGGTCTACCCCTCCTCCTCACCCCTCCTGTGAGGAACTGTCAGCAGGCCTGAACTTTTTTTTTCTCGGGGGGTGGGGGGTGTCTCTTCCATAGTCATAGATGCTCTGATTAGGCTAGTGATGGCTGTTATTCTTGGCAGACTGTTCGTGACAATGTGATGACCCGAGTTCATCCTCCCAGAGGTGGCAGGGAAAGATCACAACCTGAATCCCCATAGGAGGATCAAGTCTCTCCCAGACCAGACCAGCACCTAAGGGCTCAGTGCAGAGTTCTCCCTGGAACAAACGCTTTGAGAGACGGCCTCTGAGTGGGTGACCCTCCCCACCGTGCCTCTCTGGCATTCGAGTAAGCGTCCAACACTGAACATGAGCCCCGAGGCTGGGTACTTGGGAGAGAGAAGCAGGTGGGTCACTGAGCTCCAGACCAGCCTGGTTTACAGAGTGAGTTCCAGGGCAGCCAGGGCTATATAGGGAGATCCTGTCTGAAACACACACACACACACACACACACACACACACACACACACACGGGTTGGGGAGAGGGGGGCAGATAGTGTTTACCTGGAAATAACTGAACTTAGATGACTGATTCAGGGCTGAATTAAAATGAGACAGAAGGTTGGGCAGTGGTGGCTTACTCCTTTAGTCCCAGTACTCGGGAGGCAGAGGCAGGTGGATCTCTGAGTTCTAGGCCAGCCTGGTCTACACAGTGAGTTCAGGACAGCTAGGGCTACACAGAGAAACCCTGTCTCAAACAAACAGACTATTTTATTCTGACCTCTCTTTCACATCCCCTCCCACCCCGTGTGTGTGTGTGTGTGTGTGTGTGTGTGTGTGTGTGTGTGTGTGTGTGTGTGTGTATAAATAACTGTGTGTGTGTGTGTAAATAATACCCATAGAGGCTAAAGGGGTGACAGATTCCCTGGAGCTGGAGTTACAGGCATTTGTGAATCCCTAGATGTAGGTGCTGGGATCCCAGCCCTCTGATAAACTTTTTTGAAAAATGAGGTTCGCCAGGCGTTGGTGGCACATGCCTTTAATCCCAGCATTCGGGAGGCAGAGGCAGGGGGATCTTTGGGAGTTCGAGCCCAGCCTGGCCTCCACAGCAAGTGCCAGGAAACTCTCCAAAGCTACACAGAGAAACCCTGTCTCGAAAAAAAAAACAAAAAAAAAACACAAAACAACAACAACAAAACAAAAAACAAAAAAGAGGTTCATCTTAACCACCTTTTTAAAAGATTTATTTATTATTTATTTGGTGTTCTGCCTGCATGTATGACTGCAGGCCAGAAGAGGGCACCAGATCTCATTACAGATGGTTATGAGCCACCCTGTGGTTGCTGGGTATTAAACTCAACCTCTGGAAGATCAGCCAGTGCTCTTAAACCTCTGAACCATCTCTCCAGCTCCCGTCTTTATATTTATAAAGCAATAAATATAAATACATAAATACACACCCATTTGTTTAAAATAAGTGTATATATCTGTACCTTCATAGATGAACATGTGCTGCTGTCAAAAGATAATTTGTAGGAGTTGGTTCCTTCCGTCATCATATGGGTCCCAGGAGTTTCCCCTTCCACTGTGGGCCTGAGGGATCAAACTCAGGTCACCGGCTTGGCAGCAAGTGCTCCTACCTACAAAGCCATGTAGCCTGACTGGTCCCAGGAGGCCTCGGGAGAGACAAGTTTCAGCTGAGAGCTGACTGGAGAAACTGGTGGAAGGAAGAGCATGCCATGGAAGTGTGACATCGGGGACAAAGGCCCTGAGGTGGCGGGAAGTCCACACACTGCAGGAGGGAGAGGCAGTGTGGCTAGCATATCTGTGTGAGGGAGGGCGGCTGGGGGCCGACAGGCCGCAGTAAGGAAGCAGAGTGGGGTATTCGAGATGCAGGGAGGAACCGCTCCCTGCAAGGAGTCACATGACCCCGGGCTGAGGGTGCCAAGCACGGCCACCTGTGTTTTCAGTCACCTGGGCCTGGGTCCCCGGCTCTCCCATGAGTGCTTGCCACTTCTCAGCCTCTTTGAGGGTTTTCTCAGCCCAAGCCTGTCGCTGTAATGGATGGGTGGCAGCCAGGGTCTATGTGGCTGACAGTGCCCAGCTGGCCAGACCACTCACATGCTACACCCCACTGTCTTGGACACCTCCAGATAGTGCCCACCGGGCCCTCTGTCAGGGGCTCTTCCTCTGGTACTCTCCTCTCAGGGGAATCACTCTCCATGGAGTGGCTGGAGAGACACCATGATGTCAGGCTAGTGCCGGTGACTGGGCTAACTGTACTTTCCATTTGGAGAGTGGCCTAGAGGAGGCTGGCGGGCCACGTAGGAGGGAAAGAGAAGGGGGGAGATGGGCCTCCAGAGACAGAAGCAGCAGGAGAGAGGAGAAAGGGAAGGGGGGGAGAGAGAGCAACAGACAGAGAGGGAGAGAAAGAGAAGGATGGGAGGTGGCAGGGCCCTTTTAAAACAGTGAATATCACAGGTGGTGCTCTTAGTGGCTGCAGCTGAGGGCGTATCCTGTCAGAACCCCAAGGACAGGCCAGTCCAGATTCCTGAATACTAACAACACTGTATACACAATAAGTTTAAGAGACAGAAAAGCAACTTGCTGAAGCTGGGGGCGAAGACAATGAAAATTGAGTGATTGAAGAACAGGAGGTGGAACCCAGCACACCAAGATAGTCCACTCGTCCTTAAGCACAGCTCTGAACCCGTCATCCTCAGCCCATGTTGGCTGGCTCCCTGTCTGCAGCAGCAGTGTTTATTTGGTTAAGGTCTTGGGCCCTGCTGTAGACTGACCTACATGTGTCTCTACAAAGCTCACATGTTGAGGTCTGACTCTTTATAGGACATATTTGGATCCTTTATGAGGGGAGTTAAGATTAAAACAGGTGGGAGTGATGGGGCCCTAATCCAACCAGATTAGTGCCCTTATATGGTGTGACAGTCCCAGCCCTCAAGACAGCAGAAGCAGGCAGATCTCTGTGAGTTCTACGCCAGCCTGGTCTACATAACAAGCTCCAAGCTAGCCAAGGCTGCACAGTGAGGCCCTGTATCAAAATTTTTTTTAATTAAAAAAATAAAAAAAACAAGAAAGAGTTAGTTTTGTATAT